TTTAGTACTAGCTGTTTTGGGATTTACCTCCCTTTATTGTACTGTATTTAGTACTAGCTGTTTTGGGATTTTATTTTACCTCCCTTTGTTGTACTGTATTTAGTACTAGCTTTTAGGGGATTTACTTCCCTTTATTGTACTGTTTTAGTACTAGCTGTTTTGGAATTTAACTCCCTTTATTGTACTGTATTTAGTACTAGCTGTTTTGGGATTTACCTCCCTTTATTGTACTGTATTTAGTACTAGCTGTTTTGGGATTTACTTCTCTTTATTGTACTGTATTTAGTACTAGCTGTTTTGGGAGTTATTTCCCTTTATTGTACTGTATTTAGTACTAGCTGTTTTGGGATTTACTTCCCTTTATTGTACTGTTTTAGTACTAGCTGTTTTGGGATTTACTTCCCTTTCTTGTACTGTATTTAGTACTAGCTGTTTTGGGAGTTACCTCCCCTTATTGTACTGTATTTAGTACTAACTGTTTTGGGAGTTACTTCCCATTATTGTACTGTATTGCCCACTAATAGTCGTAGGATAACCTGCCTTTACTGCACTGTATCATAGACTGTTTAGGGAAAACATCCATTTACTGTATTGATTTGTACACTGTTTAGGGATTACTTATATTTATTGTACTGTATTGTATATTGTTAGGGGATTACTTCCCTTTATTGTATTGTATTGTAAACTGTTTTGTGATTAGCTCCCTTTATTGTACTATATTGTAGACTGTTAGGGGATTAGCTCCCTTTATTGTACTATATTGTAAACTGTTTGGTGATTAGCTCCCTTTATTGTACTGTATTGTAGACTGTGTGGGGATTATCTCCCTTTATTGTACTGTATTGTAGACTGTTTGGTGATTAGCTCCCTTTAATGTACTGTATTACAGACTGTTTGGGGATTACCTCCCTTTATTGTACTGTATTGTAGACTGTTTGGTGATTATCTCCCTTTATTGTACTGTATTACAGACTGTTTGGTGATTATCTCCCTTTATTGTACTGTTTTGCAGACTGTTTGGTGACTATCTGCCTTTATTGTACTGTTTTACAGACTGTTTGGAGATTACCAGTCTCTGGTGGCAGGGTTGACGCGAGACGCTTTAGTTGACATGTCTGGAGGTGTTGGAGAACAGATTGACATGAACGAATATAAGACTGAGGAAAAGGGAATGGAACTCTTCAGGATTCTGAAACAGTCCTATAAGAATCAGTCACTGATGAGCGCCTCCATCGCTGCAGTATGTACATTAATTATATTATACATGTGATAGATCTATGTTATAGATGTATCCCAACTATTGTTACTATATAGGTCAGGGTCCTATACAGAAGTTGTAAGCTTTCCTTACAAAGTTTAGCTCTGATTCAAATCCTGTATTTTGTGACACAATATGCTGTCAGGGTGAGGAATGTGACAACCTCTGTTCAGAGACAACCTGTGTTAAGAGACCACCTGTGTAAAGAGGCACTTCTAACCTTCCTCATTGTAGTGATGTCATTGTTATTGAAACTGTATTATGAGACCACATCATATGAGACCAATCTTTGGACTTCCTCAGGGTGAACTCTTAATACAGGTTTAACAGTATAGCACAAAAATTATCATTACAATCTTTAGATTTTGAGAAAAATTCATTTCATATTTATTACAAAATATTGAGTTTAAATCGATCATTGTTATTTATTACAGTCGGGCAATGACATGGAGGATGAGCTAGCATGTGGTTTGATCAAAGGTCATGCTTACAGTGTGACCTCTGTGAAGGACATCCCTATCAGCACCTCCTCCGGACTTTTCTCCTTCTTCAAACGAGAGAAAATCCACATGATTCGCTGCAGAAATCCCTGGGGTGGAACAGAGTGGAAAGGAGCATGGAGTGATGGGTAAGTCTACTGAACAGTTGTATACCTGCAGAGAAAACCCCAGATCTATATAGGACTTGTGAACTCATGTACATTGGTTAAGAGCTGTCACATACATGATGACTCTCTTATATCTTCTATAGTTGGTCAGTATCCAATCAAAGAGCAATATGCATGGCAACTCTCATGCCACAGCTTAATTCAAAACTGAATCATTAAAAAGATATTTTCGCGAAGGGTTTCTATAGTATATCTAAAATACCAAAAGTTTGATGTAATAGTTTTGTACCATCAATCTTAAAGCTGTGCTGTAAGGTAGCCAGAGCTACCATCCCTATGTCGGTTGAAAAAGAAATAGTGAATTATTCTCGCCATGTCTAAGTGTTTCAGTGATATTGTCACTCAAAAAATTCAGAGCAGCTTGGTCAGGAGGAAACATGGGAGCAGGATACTAAAATGCTTCATGAAGTCAGCCAAAAAGACTAAAATGGCTAATAACACTTCGTATACTGGCCCCTTATGTTTCTATAGAGGTCAGTAACTAGCTATTTTAGATGACACAACTTTTTCTAGGTCCGCATTGGTTAAATCATTATCACGTGAGGTCGGTGATTTGTGATATTGACTCAATGCTACTATTTTAAAAAAACAGCCGGTCAATATGTTCTTTATGATGTCACTTTCATTGTAACATCACAGTACTGAGACTCCAGTGTTCCCAGAAACACCCAAATGAGGGCTTTCAGCCCCAAAACAGTAGGCTGTACCCCTAGTTTTCAAGGATTGCCCTATATGTTACTTAGTACCTAGGGTTACAGAATCCTGAAAATGTATCAAATAAACACTGCTCTCTGTAAATGCAGTACGTTTCTCCAGTTTCATACATTATGTTTAGTTTAAGGATAGAAAATCAATTTTAGTATCTAAAGTAACAGTTAAATACTTTTATATTGGTGAATATTTGGTTTTATAATATAGCTTATAATATATACATGTAACTTACTCTGTTTCAGATCCAAAGAATGGAGCCAGGTCAGTGACACCATGAAGAAGGAAATTGGCCTCACCGTCGATGATAACGGAGAGTTCTGGTGGGTTAAAATTCTAAATGAGAACAGCCTTATGGTATGGATTTAGAAAACATAACCCAAACCTATAGATCTCCATTAAAAAAATTCTTTCCAGTGTATGTTTGGCAACAGTCTACGTTTTTAGGGTTTCTAAACAATAGACCTACTCACCAGGTATATTGAAAATCCTGCTGTCTAAGAAAGATAGAACATTGGTTAGAAGAAGCAACCTGAGCAAGGGCTGGAACTCATGATCACTTTCAGATTCCAGCATGAAATTCTTACTTATCTATTCTGAAACAAATTCTTAAGATAGTAAGGATCAAAATATTGTTAATCGAATACTATCATTAGATAAACAAAATGAGTCTTTACTTTTTTGTATTTTTAAAAAAAATTTTAAAAAAAAAAAAAAAAAAAAAAGGATCAAAATATCACTTGTAAGAATTCTATTCATTATATTTTATCAGTGAAATATTAAAAGATAGCCTATATCTTAATAAAAAAAATAATATATATACAACATTTGATATAGAGCCCTATCTAGCTAACATAACCCACTATAAAGCGCTTTACAGTACATAGATATACAGTTTTATACAGTCAATTCAATTAGCATATATATTAATCAATACAATATTGAGGAATTCACAGGAGCTGCCTTATCAGGCGCTAACTACTAGTCCTATGCCACCTGGCTAATATCTCCCTATGTGTGTGTGCTGGAGATGTATTGGAATTCTACTTACAGTGTTATTTCTCACTGCAGTGTAAGTAGTGTTGGTGTCATTTTTACATATGAAATCAAACATGAACCAATACAGATAACAAATCATTTGAAAATGCAAAGGAGAGAGACTGATATTTGATAGATATGGTTGAAGTAGACCAATTGCTTAGATTACAAGATTTGAGCTAAATGCAACAAACAATTTGATTGCTAATGTTCAAGTTGTTTTAAATTACAATTTTTTGTAGATAAAATCCATTTGTCAGGAGAATGGAGTAATATTTGCCAATATTTCCAGATATACTTTCCGACACTAACAAGGTGTATGTTTCCTTATTTCAGGATGTCGTTTGAGGATTTCTGTCAGTACTACACAGACATAGGGATCTGTCATATCATCAATACATCCTTCTTCTCCCTAAAGAAGACCTGGAAGGAGGGGGAGGCCGTCGGGGAGTGGAGGAGTCCGTCACGGAGTGGAGGATGTAGTAACAATAAGGCTTCATTCCTGAAGAACCCCCAGGTACCTCAACTCGGCAGCCTCCATCATTTTAACTCTATGCACATATACATACCTCAGTCAGAATTATGTATATATACCAATGGAAATCTGTTGCTGAGGAACTAAATCCCAGCATTTTGGTGACTTTGTGTCACATTTTGGTGACTTTGTGTCACATTTTGGTGACTTTGTGTCACATTTTGGTGACTTTGTGTCACATTTTGGTGACTTTGTGTCACATTTTGGTGACTTTGTGTCACATTTTGGTGACTTTGTGTCACATTTTGGTGACTTTGTGTCACATTTTGGTGACTTTGTGTCACATTTTGGTGACTTTGTGTCACATTTTGGTGACTTTGTGTCACATTTTGGTGACTTTGTGTCACATTTTGGTGACTTTGTGTCACATTTTGGTGACTTTGTGTCACATTTTGGTGACTTTGTGTCACATTTTGGTGACTTTGTGTCACATTTTGGTGACTTTGTGTCACATTTTGGTGACTTTGTGTCACATTTTGGTGACTTTGTGTCACATTTTGGTGACTTTGTGTCACATTTTTCCTCTAAATTAGGGCTTCATTAATTCATACATGGTCAGATATTGTTCATTAAATAGTCAGAGGTTTTGGGTGAGATTACCCGTGAAGCTTGTCATGCCTCTGTAACAGCGAGCAGAGCTGACATAAAAAGTACTAAAAAGAGATGGTAACGTTGTTTTAAATTAGAAATAATTATATAGTCTGTAGCACTAGGCATTTAATGTCTTGCCTAGCTGATATATCATACATGTTTGTTTTAAATATCCTGTGAATAATAGTAATATGACATTGATTTAAAATAAGTGTTGATGATGGTGCTAAATATTCTAGCTGCCGTATCTCTTCTTGATGAAATATGCTGTTTCCCTTTACAGTTTGTGTTCGATGTGACGAAGGATGAGGATGAGGTGTTGATTTCCTTGGAGCAGTTTGACCGGAGGGTAAACAAAGAGGCGGGAGACTCCCAGTTTACAATAGGTGTCTCTGTACTCAAGGTAATAAATGTTTCTTGCCAACCGTTTGAAATTTGTATTTGGGGAAATCTGTGTGCTCAAAATTAAAAACATAAATAGAAGGTGTGTAGTTTTTTGTATTTTGCCCCCTAAGTAAAACATAACATGATAGAATTTCAGTTGTTCTTTCAGATGAAATCATTAAACTATAGGAATAGTATAGCAAGTTTACTGGCTGAAAATGGTCAATTTTAGGGTCGAAAATAGGGGGTCTTCCTCCAAAATAGGGAGAGTTGACGAGTTAAGTAAATTTTACTTGTTATACAGCAAAACATTAATATAACATTCCTTCTTTCATTGGCTCATTTACCACCATTACAAGGTTGACTTTTCCTTTAACAAAAATCTCTCAAACGTCTTCCCGACATCCCGCTGTCACCTGACCCCTTTATAATGCCACCAGTTCCTGACAAATAGTGGCAGTATATCAGAGTTTTACTGTATATAAATTTGTCTTTTTGACACAGTTCTGCCATGAAGTGCTGCAGAGCGTATAGTGTTACCCTTGTCTGTAATCAAAGTTTTCAAATAAACCTGAAGAGCTGTATGAAGGGTGAAAGCTGTTAGTTTTAAGATGGTGATTATATATCTTATTTTTTCTATATATACAGCACTTTCATACGAACCATTGTCTTAGTTTTCTACAATTATTTCAGACGGACCTGAACAGAGTCTATAGAATGCATGACTCTCTAAGGGAAGCACAGTCGTCTTCCTTTGTAAAATCTCGCAGTGTAATGACGAGAGCAAAACTCAAACAGGGGAAATATTGTGCAATTCCTTCAACCTTTGACCCCGGTTTTGAGGGAGAATTTTTCCTCCGGATATATGCAAGTAGCAGTCCTGAGTTAAAGTAAGTAGAGAGTAGTTAAAGTAAGTAGAGAGTAATTAAAGTAAGTAGAGAGTAATTAAAGTAAGTAGAGAGTAATTAGAGTATGATAACAGCTTCATGAAGTCCCAGGTCCCTCAGGTAGGAATTCTTTTATACCTATAGCTTCTACGAAATCTAATTTTGAGTATATACATATATATTCCTTATAACATCATATTCATCGATATCAAAGTTTTACTTTTTACACAAACAATGTATGTATTAAACGTGTCGCAACGTTTCAAGACTGACTGATCCCTTTGTCAAGCTATGACTGAGTGAGCGATTTGTATTCCAACACACCAGTACAAGAGGCCATCAATATCATCAGAGAGAGATTAAAAGCAGACAAGACACTCCAGAAAAGGACAAACCTATTAGTAGACAACATCATCATACTAACATTTGTCATGGACACGACTTACTTCGCGTTTTGAGGTCAGGTGTACCAACAGAAATACGGTACTGCTATGGGAAGTCCTGTGTCACCCATAGTCGCGAATCTGTTCATGAAACACCTAGAGCAGACCGCCATTAGATCGGCACCCATGCATGGTATGCTGCCCCAAACTTTGGAAACATATGTGGATGACATCCTAGAAATAGTTAAAAAGGGAGCAGTACTAGTGCAGGGCCTAACAGATCATCTGAACCAAGTGGACAAAACAAATTCTTTAAATTTACCCTCGAGGAGGAAAAGTAAGGAACCATACCATTCTTGGACGCTCATTGTCCGCAAAGAATACGGCACCATCAAACTATTAGAGTAAGGCAAACCGACACACACTGATCAATACTTTGCTTTCAATTCCTACTATCCACTACACCAAAAGTTTGGAGTCGTACGTACACTCCTCGACAGATGCAACAACATCATCACAGAGCAGGAGGATAGACGCAGGGAAGACAAGCACATAAAAGACACACTTAACCGTTGTGGCTACCCCGACTGGTCAATAAACAAGGTGAAAAGAGTGGTAAAAGAAATGACAGAAAACAGAAAACTGAGACAGAAGAAAAGTAATGGAACCCAAACCAAAAGCAAAGGCTGGGTCACCATACCCTACGTGAAGGGGACATCTGAGGCGTTTGCACGGGTGATAAGGAAACACCATTTCAGCACCCTGATGAGACCACTGACAACCTTAAGATAGTTACTGGTGCACCCCGAAGACAAGACTGACATTTTAGACAAAACAGGAGTTGTATATCAAATTATATGCAACATTTGTCAGCAGTCATGATCATATACAGGTGAAACTGGGAGGAAACTTGGTACACGTCTGAAGGAACATCAAAAGGACGTAGAGAAAATGAGCAACATCACATTCACCAGATCCACACGCTAAACATCCGCCACCCAGTACACTAACTCAGCATTAACAGAACACGCTTACACCTAAAATCACATCGTGGATTGGGACAATGCCAAGATAGTTGAAAGGGAACAACACACAAAAACAAGACAAATCAAAGAAGCAATCAAAATCAGGAAAACTCAGACATGAACAGAGATGAGGCGGCCACTAACTGAGTCATCTGTATGACCCGATACTGACATAACAGGGGATAAGGGGTTAGATCTAACATCCTACCTGTAACCTATCTGGTGCATTGTGTATATGCTCCCTATCGTTAGGCGAAATGTCTCAGGTCGAGTGACATGAAAAATATACAATTTCGTCACATCGTTGTACAGGTAACTAATACAAATCGCTCACTCAGTCGTAGCTTGACAAAGGGACCAGTCAGTATTGAAACTTTGCGTCACGTTTAGTACGTACATTGTTCATGTTAAAAATACAATTTTGATATAACACATTTCCAAACTAATGAAATTTATTGAAGATATCCTATTCATTGTATATGTATCTGTCCCAAGGGAGCTGACACTAGAGGAGCCAGACAGAAACAGTGGGTGCTGCTGCAGCCCCTTTTACATGTGTAAGGCCTACAGGTCTGCCTTGCAGATCCTCATCAGCAGTGGAGAGGGCCTGGAGGGCAAGGATTTGGACAGAAGTAGGTTCACCCATCAGTATCCTCCATACATTAAACTCTGTGTGATGTAGTTTAGCTGCAGCCTTTTTCCTTTTTAGATATCTGACATGAACTCTTGTGAGTTTATGAGATGGTGTAGCATATGCCATTTGTCTGCCCAGTGTTAACTTATAAAGACTTCTTCTTCAGAACCATGAATCTTTGAATCATGATATCAGGCACATTAGCTTGCTGTGATCAGAATTCTTCAACTGTAGAACATGGAGCTCCTTTAAAGGTCACAGAAGTGAAGTGTGTTAATTCTTTTCAATAGCTGACATATAACAATACCCTCTGTAACATGCTGGATGGACCATTAATTTGCCTGTAACATGCTGGATGGACCATTAATTTGCCTGTAAAATGCTGGATTGACCATTAATTTGCCTGTAACATGTTGGATGGACCAATAATTTGTCTGTAACATGCTGGATGGACCATTACTTTGCCTGTACCATGTTGGATGGACCAATAATTTGTCTGTAACATGCTGGATGGACCATTACTTTGCCTGTACCATGTTGGATGGACCAATAATTTGCCTGTAACATGTTGGATAGACCAAAAATTTTCCTGTAATATATGCTGGATGGACCCTTAATTTGCCTGTAACATGCTGGATAGACCAATAATTTGCCTGTAACATGCTGGATGGACCAATAATTTGCCTGTAATATGCGCTGGATGGACCATTAATTTGCCTGTAACATGCTGGATGGACCATTAATTTGCCTGTAACATGCTGGATGGACCATTAATTTGCCTGTAACATGCTGGATGGACCATTAATTTGCCTGTAACATGCTGGATGGACCATTAATTTGCCTGTAACATGCTGGATGGACCATTAATTTGCCTGTAACATGCTGGATGGACCATTAATTTGCCTGTAACATGCTGGATGGACCATTAATTTGCCTGTAACATGCTGGATGGACCATTAATTTGCCTGTAACATGCTGGATGGACCATTAATTTGCCTGTAACATGCTGGATGGACCATTAATTTGCCTGTAACATGCTGGATGGACCATTAATTTGCCTGTAACATGCTGGATGGACCATTAATTTGCCTGTAACATGCTGGATGGACCATTAATTTGCCTGTAACATGCTGGATGGACCATTAATTTGCCTGTAACATGCTGGATGGACCATTAATTTGCCTGTAACATGCTGGATGGACCATTAATTTGCCTGTAACATGCTGGATGGACCATTAATTTGCCTGTAACATGCTGGATGGACCATTAATTTGCCTGTAACATGCTGGATGGACCATTAATTTGCCTGTAACATGCTGGATGGACCATTAATTTGCCTGTAACATGCTGGATGGACCATTAATTTGCCTGTAACATGCTGGATGGACCATTAATTTGCCTGTAACATGCTGGATGGACCATTAATTTGCCTGTAACATGCTGGATGGACCATTAATTTGCCTGTAACATGCTGGATGGACCATTAATTTGCCTGTAACATGCTGGATGGACCATTAATTTGCCTGTAACATGCTGGATGGACCATTAATTTGCCTGTAACATGCTGGATGGACCATTAATTTGCCTGTAACATGCTGGATGGACCATTAATTTGCCTGTAACATGCTGGATGGACCATTAATTTGCCTGTAACATGCTGGATGGACCATTAATTTGCCTGTAACATGCTGGATGGACCATTAATTTGCCTGTAACATGCTGGATGGACCATTAATTTGCCTGTAACATGCTGGATGGACCATTAATTTGCCTGTAACATGCTGGATGGACCATTAATTTGCCTGTAACATGCTGGATGGACCATTAATTTGCCTGTAACATGCTGGATGGACCATTAATTTGCCTGTAACATGCTGGATGGACCATTAATTTGCCTGTAACATGCTGGATGGACCATTAATTTGCCTGTAACATGCTGGATGGACCATTAATTTGCCTGTAACATGCTGGATGGACCATTAATTTGCCTGTAACATGCTGGATGGACCATTAATTTGCCTGTAACATGCTGGATGGACCATTAATTTGCCTGTAACATGCTGGATGGACCATTAATTTGCCTGTAACATGCTGGATGGACCATTAATTTGCCTGTAACATGCTGGATGGACCATTAATTTGCCTGTAACATGCTGGATGGACCATTAATTTGCCTGTAACATGCTGGATGGACCATTAATTTGCCTGTAACATGCTGGATGGACCATTAATTTGCCTGTAACATGCTGGATGGACCATTAATTTGCCTGTAACATGCTGGATGGACCATTAATTTCCCTGTAGCATGCTGGATGGACCATTAATTTGGCAAATAGGTGGAAAGTAATAGAAATAAAATCACTGATGAGGAGTTAAGTCCTTTGAGCCTCTTGTTAAATATGTTACTGTAATGATGACTAACAAGGTTCCATTATAAATTTTGAATGTTTTTTTATTGAAATAATGTCGTAAACAAATGTTCTGTGATTGAGTTTTTTTACTTTCTGTGTTACAGAGTCTGACCCATTTGTTATTATTCGCTGTGAGAAAGAGAAAGTCAAGACACCTGTTATATCCAATGACCTCAATCCCAAGTTTGACCAGCGGGTCACATTTTACCAGAAGACTCCGAAAGAAAATGTTACATTAGAGGTATACAATATTACAATTTACTACTGAATGTGTGAACTGTTCAAATGATATACTGATACATACATTCAATAATAAATAAATAATAAAAAAATAATAGTAAATTCTGATCCGAGATAAGGGGGCTCATAGACTCTAGCATATCTTTGACCAGGTACTTATTAAACAAAGCAGAGCCGAATCAAATTTGTCATTTCATACAAGTAAAACAGCTAGGTTTACATACGGTTTTCGTGTATCCCAATTAACTTTGATTATATATTATCAACTATTTTACACTTTTGTGTACATACACTTCATTGGTTATTTGTCTAATGAAGATGGCAGGGTACGTATCATTCTAGTCATCGAAACGTTACACATAAACGTTAATTGACACTATATTATAACCATCTAAACACTAATTAACCCTGCTATTTCAAAACTCACCTAATGATGAAAAGAACAGCACATTCAGCTTTATATCAGATTTCACTTTTAAGAATCCACATACCACTGCCAAAAATATATCTATGCTTTGATGTCATTTATCAAAAGTGATCCACACCGTACAAGACCTGATGAAAAAAAATGATGACATGAACAAAATATAATCATCCATAGTGTTTAGATTGTAAAAAATATTAGCTGAAACATCCATACAAAATATCTGCCGCAGAGATCTTCAAGCTAACTTAAAGTCTGAGAGCTGTACATATCTACTGTCAAAGATATCTGTATTAGGATATAAAACTAAGAATAAATCTCAAGGATACTGACTACTTCAAAACAATTGTGAGGGGACATTAATTTCGGGAATAGTTCTCAGAGACTGTCTATACTAAGCATAATTTGCACATACCTTTTATAAGACATTTGGGTAATGTTACCATTATATTCATTTTCTGTGTTCAGGTGTGGAACCACAACATGATAAAAGATGACTTTTTGGGAGTGTGCACTTTGTCTATGACACAAAGGAGTTCCTTCAAGGGAGGTAACAAAATGATTGGAATGCCCTTGATGGGAAAGGGCAAGGGAGCAGCCAAGCCTACTAAAGGTCGGCTATGGGTCAATGTGCTGTACACAACACTACTGGACACGGTGTGACCTCACACCGCGGCTATGGGTCAATGTGTGACCGCCACTCTCTGTCAACCACTGGACATCACATGAACCATCCATGCCTACTAAAGGTCGGCTATATATGGGTCAATGTGCTGTACACAACACTACTGGACACGGTGTGACCGCCACTCTCTGTCAACCACTGGACATCACATGAACCAGCCACACCTACTAAAGGTTGGCTATGGGTCAATGTGCTGTACACAACACTACTGGACACGGTGTGACCGCGGCTATGGGTCAATGTGCTGTACACAACACTACTGGACACAGTGTGACCGCCACTCTCTGTCAACCACTGGACATCACATGACACTCTGACCTTGACTCTACACCGTGGAGCTGAAATCTCTTTCATAAAAGACATCTGACTGATTTAGTGAAAATCAAAACTTTATCTTTCTTACTTTTAATGACCTCAAAATAGTTAACATGTGATGACGTCAAATACACTGATTCTTTATTAACATTAGAATAAATGGTACATTTAAATTTTATATCATATTTAGTTATGGTGTAGGTGCTATTGTAAATATACACGTAATTGACATTTATTCCCTTTCAATGATAAAGACACAGATTTTTTCAATTTTTGAAACAAGTCTTCAAGCAGCTTTTGTATAGCATTTTAATGATGTTCATAGTAAAAGTACATAAAAATGCTAACAATAATTCAATAATGACACAGGTTGTTTTCTGGATTATAGTGTATATTGAAATTCTACTTACCCTGTATCCACTCTTGACTGTATTTTAATATTTGTATGCTGCTCAATAAAGTTATTTGGGACCAGCATCACCATATATATATATATACATATAATTGCTGATAAACACCTATTTGGGACCAGCATCCCCATATATATATATACATATCATTGCTGTTAAACACCTATTTGGGACCAGCATCACCATATATGTATATATATATATACATATAATTGCTGTTAAACACCTATTTGGGACCAGCATCACCATATATATATATATATACATATCATTTCTGTTAAACACCTATTTGGGACCATGCAGCATCACCATATATATATATACATATCATTGCTGTTAAACACCTATTTGGGACCATGCAGCATCACCATATATATATATATACATATCATTGCTGTTAAACACCTATTTGGGTTGAAATCCATCCTTTGATTTTTGCATTTTAATCAAATACTGTATATTTATCTACATGTAGTACCTTTTTGGAGGGAATTTTTTATAATACACTTCTACATGATGTATTTTGGAATCGCAAATTGATGAATGTTATGTGTAAATTTTATAAGAATTTGGCAAGTTAATATTTGCCAAAACAGTTGATAGCATTCTGTTTTACATTTATACTACTGTGTGAGTAATAGTTGATTGTTTTTTGTGTCTGTGTCTGTTGAAGTGTCAGCATTATCTGTAGTAGCTGTGTTTCTCTGTTGAAGTGTCAGCATTATCTGTAGTAACTGTGGCCTTCTCTTACTGCTGTCTCTACCTAAAGTGTCTTATACCTGTATTGAGACACTGGTCTTTAGATTTATTTTTAGCTCACCTGGTCCGAAAGACCATGGTGAGCTCATGCCATACCGCAGCGTCCGACCGTCAACTTTTCCTTCAAAACGCTACTAGTCCTGAACGACCCGGTAGATTTTGACTATATTCGGTCCGGAGCATCCTTAGGCCAAGGGCACTCAATTTTGTATAAACGGTGGGTGTGCCCCCCCCCCCATCCCCTGGGGGCAGGGGGTTGGGCCCAATAGGGGATATAGAGATAAACCTTTAAAATCCTCCTTCTTCTACCACAGGGATTAAAGGATTTCATTCCAATTTGGTCTAGAATATCCTTGGGCCGAAGGCACTCAATTTTGTATAAACGGTGGGTTTGAACTCCCTGGGGGCAGCGGGGCAGGGCCCAATAGAGGAAATAGAGGTAAAACCTTTAAAATCCTGCTTCTACTGTAGGGATAAGGGGATTTTATCCTATTTTGTTCTGGAGCATCCTTGGACAAAAAGGACTCCAACTTGTATATCCAGTTTTGAGGTTTAAATCTTTAAAAATCCTTCTCCTTCTGTACCATTTGAGGGATTTTATCCCAATTCTGCTTGGAGCATCCTAATGGGCAAAGGGGTCCTTATTTTGAATATAAGATGGGTTGGCCCCATTGGGTGCAGAGTTGCGGGGCTCAAAAGGGGAATTTAAGATTTAAGTTTTTAAAATTCTTCACCTTCTGTACTATTGGAGGGGTTTCATTCAAAGTTTGCCTGGAATATCCTTGGGCAAATAGGAATTAATGTTGTATAATTGGAGGGTGTGGCCCCACTGGGTGCAGAGTTGCAGGGCCCAATATGGGAATTTGAGGTTTTATTCTTTAAAATCCTTCTTCTGTACCATTGGAGGGACATTTTTGCAATAAGAATAATTTCCCATTGTTGCTTTATTATCCAGGTGAGCGATACAGGCCATCTGGGCCTCTTGTTAAGTTTTAAATAAGGGACTATTTTGGTAGGAGCTTTTCCATACCCAGGACCTATTAATTTGAGTCCTGTTTCCAAGGGACTGTTCTGGTAATGAGCCTTTGAGATGCAGCACCTGTGCATTTGAGTAACATATCCAAGGCATAGTTTTTTTGTAATGAGTCATACATGACACAGAAACTATGGTTTTGAGTCGTATCTGAGAGACTGTTTTGGTAGCTACATATATCTCTTGAGACACAGGACAATGGATTGGAGTTTTATACAGGAGACTGTTCTGGTAATGAGCCGTTTAGAAAAGGGGCCTTTGTACTAGAGTGATATCCTAGGGACTACACTGGTAATGAGCCGTTTAGAAAAGGGGCCTTTGTACTAGAGT